ATGGATCCTCCCTGCGTTCACGCCCACCACCAACAAACTTCCTTAGCAGACATGACGCTCAATCTGCTGCCAACAAAAAACGTCTTTTTATTCTTTTCTTTTTCTGCAGGTAGTAAACAGCAGCTAGCTTAATACCGCGATCAAAGAGTCGTTATGAATACTCGATGAAAACTCCAAGAATAGAAAAAATCTATAGAGTTCAGCGTATGCCAGCGTTTCTGGGACGTCAGGCAGACGCTGGAGAAATCAGCAAGGTGTGACAGGACTTTAGATAGAAAACACTGAACCAATCTGACCGTTTGATCTAGTTGAATTGTTTCTGTAAAGGTCTCTGAGATGACATGTGAATTGGCACTATAGAAACAAACTGAATTGAATTGGAACCACAGCATATAAATAAAAAAATAAAAAAACACACACACCATCAATTCCTGAACACTTTTATTTGATTTATTTCTTGTCTGACTTTCATCTCCTTCAGTCTGAGTTTTTTCACATTCAAGTACAGAGAGCCTTCGTGTCGCAGCGCGTCTGAGAGGGAGGAGGCTTCGATAAGGCAAGAGGGCCGCAACCTGCAATGTAGAACTTCAACTGCTAGAGTACACCTGGAGTCCATCCATTGAGCTAATATAAGGGTAACAGATGGATGTTCTATACGTCTATCGCTAGTCTGAAAAGATGACCCCCCTCCCCCCACTATGTTAGAGCCCCAAACCGAGTTAACAGGAAACTAAGATGTCCTCCATCTAAAGCTGCTCCAAAGTGTTGAAATGGTTTCTGGAGTGGAACGATCTGAACTCCAGGAACGTTTAAGGCTCATCAACAAGTTGGTTTTTCCCAGAAAGCAGCGTTTTTTTCCCCTCCTGCGCTGCGAGAAGACGTTACGGCTTCGTTTGTTTAACTCCTCCACCTGAAAGAACCATGAAGGGAAACAGAAAACACCCAGAAGCTACAGTTTTCCACCCGTTTCCACCTTTACCTCATATGTGCAGCAGCTGTGCCTCCGAGTCTTTGGTCCCTCTTCCAACACAAACACACCAAAAGATGACCCCCCCCCCCAAACAAAAAAAGAACAGTTTGGATAAACGGTACCAAAACAGATGGCACAGGAAGAACAAACACTGGTAACCATGGCAACAACCCCATCAAGCTCCGATCAGATCCTCCACTCATCGGCGGCAGGTTCAGAACAGAGCTGATCTAGAGACAGATCTATGTCGAGCTGATCTAGATAGATCTCATAGAACAGTTTGGTCTAGATCAATTATAGAACAAATGATCTACATAGAGCAGATCTAGACAGAACCGATCTACAGAGATTTGATCCAGGTAGAACAGAACTATATAGAGCTGCTCTACATAGAACGGCTCCTTGCTCCCAGCTAAAAAAATAAACCAACCAATAGAACTAAAATCCCTTCTTATATTGATATATATCTCTATATATTTATAGATTTATCTAGTATAGATTAGACATTTTTGGGGTTCCTGCTAAAGTACCTTGGGTCCGTCTTATTCTCCATGCTGTCTCAGTGGGTTACAGCTCCGTGACCTCATGGACAATAATCTACAATAATCTCAGGTACATTCAGGACTTGTGGTAAAAAGCCTCCAATATTCTTTACAAGTCAATAAAAATACAGAGAATCAAAAATACGGGGGTGGAAGCAGTCCACCGTCCTGCAGAGGCTGCTCCCCCAAACCTCTACATCCTCATTGGGGACGAACTTCGGGCTCCGGCCTCTTTTGGGCCCGCTCCGTCTGGATGAAGGCGCCCTGACCCAGCGCCGTGGAGTACGCTCTGCTGTTGGGGTTGGCTGGGAACCCCGGGGCCGGATATGTGCTGGAGCCGGCGTGTTTCTGGGGCGGGGCCTGAGGGGCGGGGGCCGGCTGGTAGTCATCCAGGTTGTCGTAGTGGGACTGCACGGCTTTGGAGCAGAGTTTCTCGTAGGCGTAGTCCCGGTCCAGGTCTTTGCTCTGAGTGAAGTGCTGTTCTTCACGGGCGGCGTGGGTCCGCTCCGGGTTAGCGCGCTCCTCCGTACTGTGGTAGCCAGCGGGGGGTTTCTTGTTGTGGTGGTCGGACTCGGGGCAGCTGTACCGCGGTTGTAAGGACTTCTTGTTGGGGTGTTTTGACCTGCTGCCGTCTCCGCCCAGCTTGTCCTCCCCACCCTCGTATCTTGGATCGTGGCGGCTGCTCTCTTGCTGTTGGGAGACGTTATGGCCCAAAGGAAGCGAGTGAGACGACGGACATTTCTTAGAACTACTCTGCTTAGAAACAGCCTCTGACTTGTCCACCACTCCGCCGCCGTGGACGTGCTTGTCTGTCTCCATGTAGATGAGCAGATCATGATCAGACGCCATGTGCCTGGGGAGGTAGCGTCCATCTTTGCTCTCCAGGGGGAGCAGCACAGCCTTGCCCGGGTCAGACTTGCTGCGAAGGTGCAGGGTTTCATAACCGGAGAGGTCCGCCGGCGTGAAAAGGCCAACGTTGTCATACTGGGAGAGGACAGGTCCTCTCAGCTTCAGTCTGGCCCTGCTCTCCCTGCGGATCGAGTGCATGCGAAGCCGCTCCGCCTCCTCCAGGTCCCAAGGAAGTAAGACGGGCGCTTCCTTCCCTCCGTGACCCAGAGGCATATCTCTGCTGACGAAGCTGTGCTCTTTCCCCGGCGGAAGAATGTGGCGGGAGAGGTAGTGGTACCCTGCCGCCTTCCCTCCTGGGCGCCCTGCAGCAACGCTGGCATCTCGGACCCCGTAGGAGTGGATGTGCCGGACTCTGATTGTGCCATAAGGGTCTACGGCATAGAAAGGCGACTCTAACGGGCTGGATCCAGAATACGGGCTGTAGCGGTACTGGACCCGGCCGTTCTCGAAGTACGGCTGCAGCTGGGTGACGTGGTAGTCGGTCTGGGAGGACTGCGGAGGAGGCTGCTGGTAAGACTTGCAGGGATAAACGGGCCGGTGGTAGAAGAACATGTCGTCCTCAGGGGGGACCTCGGTCCGTTGGACGGGCACGGAGCGGACAGCGGGGGGGACGTGGAAGGAGTGCACCCTGCGGATGGTCGGGTAGCCGTGGGTCCTGTCGTGGCTGTAGGCCTGCTGCTCCGGTCCGGGAGAGACGTGCACACTGCGGGGGGTTCCTCTCAGCTTCATGGAGTGGTGGTAGGACCTGGGACCCAGAGTGTGGTACCTGCTGTCTGATCGGGAGCTGAAGCTTATCTGAGGCTCAGATTTGGACCCACAGGGGTGCGGGGTGACGCTCTCTGGTCGGTAATGGTGAGGGAGGGGCAGTGGGCCCAGAGGAACAGACCTCTGGTGGTAATACGCTGCTGCTGGAGCCTCCACGAGGACTGGCTCCCCCTTCAGCTGGTAAATGTAGGCGGGCTGGTGAGGGGCGGACTTACGGGGAGAAGGAGGATGAGGAGGAGGGAGGTGGCCTTCACCCAAGGTCTGATAGGAGGCTTCGCTGTGACTCAGAGCTGCTGCGGCCAGTTTGCTCTCCAGGGTTCGGACTGGGGGGACGGGGGGAGTGGGTGTGTAGGAGTCGCTCTGTTTGGTGGGCTCTTTGCAGGGCTGGACGGGTCTGATGGCTTCCCAGGGCTTCTCAGCAGGTTCTGCTGAGGTTGGAGCGACTCTGGCGCTAGCCTTAGACAGCTGGGCCTGAGGAGGGCCGACTGAGTGAGGCTGAGCTGGAAGACGAGGCTGGACCTGGGTTTGGGGAAGAGAGACAGGCTGCTTGACGGGTTTCTGAGGTGGTTCTGGTGGCACTGGACGGGCTGGAGGTGATGCAGACTCCTCCGCCTTGATCTGAGGATTAAAAGAAGAGAATAACGTTAGGATTTACTCCAGGAGGGCCCGACCCGCTTAGAGCCTCAGTACCTCAGACCGGTTTCACACTCAGAACCACAAAGCTGTTCCTTCAGTTCTTCAGTTCATCCTAAAGGCTGAGCTTCTATTTCCACACAAAACCAACCAAGACTCAGCTGCTCTGGTTCTGGTCTCAGAGGTTCTGTAGAACAGAGCAGACGGGTCAGCTCGGACGTTCTAGAGAGGTTTCGGTATTCAGTCCAGTACAGCACACCATAAACATGCGCCAATTCTCAATTCACAGGAACGCCAGTACAGACTTGTCGTCGTTCTTGCCAAGTCCGTTCTTGACTAGAACCCAGGAGCACACAGAATAAATCTGGGCCAATTGGAACAGAAGTTTACTCACCACATCAACATATTCAAAGCTAGTCTGGAGCT